GGCTTTTACACAACCTACGGTTGACTATTCATCTCTAACCTCTTCTCATTCAGTTTCTTCCACCAGTTCTGCCTTTCCCGGGATCCACTGATTATTATTTTCGTAATCATTGTCTTTTTCCCTTTCCTCACATTTGTTTAATCCGAATTTTTACTTTCTCCATTTTTATGATTTTTTAATCATTTTTAAATGTTTAATTTTTTTAATTTGAAAATGTATTTTTCCTATGAAGCACCTCATGATTTTTATTTTTGAGAGGCCATATTTTATTCTATTTTTATCAATCCAGGCTGTACACAGGTTGGAGTGTCGGGCTTTGGAGTCTTAGACAACTGTTCGCTCTATCAGAGGGTGTTTGGCTCCTCTGGGATCTCTGCCGATGCCCTTCTGTGCTGTGCTCATTTGTTTATCCATGTGCCCACTTCTCTTAGTCACTATGATGCCTGACATGATTTGAGAGACAGGCTATAGTTGGATGGGACTGAACCCTTTGAGGGGTCCTTTGGGATCAGGATTATGTGCCCTTCAGTTTGCCACTCAGGGTGAGCCCCATCCTTTACTGGCACGTTCATTTGTGCTGCCAGATGCTCATGGAGTGCAGTGAACTTCTTAAGCCAGTAGGCGTGGATCATGTCAGGTCTTGGTGCTGTACAGTTTTTCATACTTGAGACTCTCTCTTCAATGTCTGCTGCAGTGATGGATGCCGGGTTCTGCTCAGAGGGGTTACTGTGTTCTTCCCTTGGGGAGGCTAGCTACTTTGCATTGCTGTTGTGTGATGCCTCCTTTTCTCAAATGCCCTTCCAGTACTCTTCAGTCTCCAGCCTTGGTGGGTCTGCTCTGCTGTTATTACCCTACCACTGAGTACAATTTAGCAGGTTGGGTCAACAAGAGAGGGTTTATTCACCTGGCTTCACTTGCTCTCGTGTATCTCTTTAGGTGGCTGGCCAAGGCTTGGAGCCTTTGGCAGTTTCCAGTGCTTCGGGTATGGGTGTCTGGCTGTAGCTCTTGGGTTCTGTATTTCCCATTGTACCTTTTTGGAACTCTGATATGGCTCACTTCACTCCGTGCTGCCTTGATGTTGGCCTCCAACCTTCTTTTCTATGGAGGGTATTGTTTCTCATGGTTGCTCATGCTCTTACAGCCAAGCATCTCAAGGATCACTCCTGCTGACGTGTATATCAGCTCATTAGTTTCAGTGATGGTGATTGTAGGAATCCTTCTCAATGCTACACTCACATCTTCGAGGTTTTCTGATGGTATTTCACTCAGCCGTTTTAGTTGGCGTTGGAGTTGCCTTGTGTTCATTTGAGCCGTGAAAAAAATATTGTTTTGTGAGCTTTACCTTCTCCTCTAAATGATGGAATGTGATAGAACTAACGAGGGCACAAAAAATAAAGACGTGCTGCGGCACAGCTGGATATCTATGTGTGTGAGGAAGATGAGAAGGAGTCACCGAGGTGACAAGGATCAGGTGATCCATGCAGCATGTGGAATGCGGTGGAAACTCTGTAAGCCCAAAGGGACTGACAGCAGAATGCTGCAGTGGTGCAACTCAAGCAGAAAGCACCAGAACAGAGGTCAGCACACTCATTGTTTTCTTCTACTGTCACACCGCCATCATAACTGTCTCATTGTTGTCACTGTAGGTATTTCCCTCACCGTGGGTTTTAAAAAACATTTCTTGACACAAATACACACACACACACACACACACACACACACCTGTAGGATTGTTATTTGGGTTTTTACACCGTTTTTGACAGAATGACTCCTCCAAGACTGAACTTGCTGCTTTTCTTTTCTTCAGAATCCTGGTATTTGTGTGATTTTGTGAGACATAAATGATTTAATCAGGATGGGTTGCTTCCACTTCCGTTTTTAGGTTCCACAGGCTGCAGAAATACTTTTACAGCTGCTACTATTTTGCCCAAGTCTGTATTGAGTTTCTTTTCCTCTGCTTGTCTTTGTTTGCTAGTGTGCAGATGCACATTTCCTCCCTGACAGAAACACACATATATGTGTCCACGTGTGCACACGCTCCCACTCAACTAGTGTCTCTTTGCCAGAGGCAGCGAAAGTCTTGTTTGCACTCATCATATATATTTCACATTCTGACTATGTGACCAAAGTGATCATTATTCAAAATATACTCCCACCTCTGAACCGGAGAACAAGCAATCACTGACGCAATTTCCTACATCTTTGAACTGCTCCGGGGGAATGAACTTGAGTAGTGTCTGTTATTCAGGGTATGTTCTGTGTTATGATTAATATTCCAGCTCTGAAGAAAATAAAAGTTTAAATAATGAACTGTGTTTTGGTCGTTTGAGAAGCAGGTTTGCGCACAACTCTGTGTGGATCTCTCTCAATATACATATATATATATACATTCATATACATATATATATATATATATATATATATATATATATACATTCATGTATGTATGCATACATATATGAATGTATATATATATATATATATATATATATATATATATATATATATATATACATACATTCATATATGTATGCATACATACATACATATATATGTATATATGCATGCATATGTATGTATGTATATATACATACATATACATACATACATACATACATACATACATATATATATATATATATATATATATATATATATATATATATATATATATATATAGACCTTTGAACCTGGACACATCGTTTTTTTTGTGGAGTGAACTGCTGGAGTGTGTGTGTGTGTGTGTGTGTGTGTGTGTGTGTGTGTGTGTGTGTGTGTGTGTGTGTGTGTGTGTGTGTGTGTGTGTGTGTGTGTGTGTGTGTAATAGTGTGAGGTGAGAAAAGCAGTGTTCCTAAGGGGTGCATGTCCACTGGCATCATATGAGAATGAATAAAACAGGACCTGGGTAGCCTCTCTGCTACTTGTGTTCACATGTACATTGACTCTGTGGATGCATGTGTGTGTGTGTGTGTGTGTGTGTGTGTGTGTGTGTGTGTGTGTGTGTGTGTGTGTGTGTGTGTGTTGTACACTGAGAGTGCCTTGTTTTTAAGAAAGAAAATAACCAAATCCACATCCAAATTTAAAAAGTATAAAAGAGCAGACCAGTTCCATTATGCACTAATGCATTATTACATGTTCCAATTATCCCCATGTATACCTTTTATATCTTTAAACAGAACCAGGATTGTGTTATTTTTCAAACAATTTTACAATATTTTATTCATAAAGCATCAGCACAGGTCCTGCTAGCTTTGCTCCGGGCAAATGCTGTAATTCAATTGTTTACAGCACAGAGAGCACTTATCCAACAAGTTGTTTTTGTGGAATTAAACCCATGACCTTTAAGTCACAAAGCACATTCCCTGCTTCACCGCTGCCCTGACTCATGACAACAATGTGTGTAGTGCCAAACCAAATATGGTGACCGTTTCACTAACAAGACAATTTACTCCCAGCAGAAGAAGTTTTACATAAAGGTTTAACTGAGAGCCCTGAGGCGGGGTTTGCTTTAAGGTGAAGTCACAGTAAGGTGAGTGAATCTGTCTGACTCAGCACTAACTGAACTACACTGACTCTATAAACCCAAGTAATTACTAACCAGTATGTCATAAAAGATGGATAACAAATATAGGGTGCTATGTTCGTGACACGTGACCTCCTCCCAATGTCACCAGTGTGTTTTTCTTTAAAATGCAGACATGAACCAGCCACGCTAAGTAAATAAGGTTAAACAGAGGTGTTCATGCATAATAACAACATCAGTAGCAGTGTGATGGGACCTCAGGGTTGGCGATGTTGGTGGAAAAATGAAAACCAATGCAACTAAAGACAGAGTGGCATGCTTGAATCTGAGACCAAACCTGAAAAGTCTACCAAAATGAGACAGATACTTCTTTGATGAATGCAATAGGAGGAAGAACAAGAGCTGAGGCAGTGATAACTGACACATTCAATCTATTTTAAAAAATTACATAAAAAAGATGTTGAAAAAGCACAGATTTTTTTATTTTCTTGTTTGAAAATGCCTCAGTGGGTTTAACACACTATAAAACTGTGGGAGTTTTGTTTGAATGTAATATATTTATATTTGATATTTTAATATATTGTGTAATATTATATAATACAAAAATAATCTTCCCATTCTCTTGCACTTTACATAGATTTATATATAAAAAATAACTTTATACATGTGCAATCTCCATCCTGGCTGACGTGTTCTGTGTCCCTTTGCTCCCTAGCCCCCTCCAGGTTTTCCTTAGTCTCCCCACTGTAGTTTCTATAGGTTTATTATTTCAGTTCCTTAGTCTCCTTTAGTGTGTGTGTGTGTGTGTGTGTGTGTGTGTGTGTGTGTGTGTGTGTGTGTGTGTGTGTGTGTGTGTGTGTGTGTGTGTGTGTGTGTGTGTGTGTGTGTGTGTGTGTGTGTGTGTGTGTGTGTGTGTGTGTGTGTTCCCTTCCCCAGTTAGGTCTGGTTTCCTCTCCTGCTCCTCGTCTCCTATCACCCCAGCCCTGTGTATATAACCCTGTCTGTGTCTCCAGATTCTGGCTCATAAGTGAGCTTTTGTTTTTGACTTTTGGAACTTTAGAACTTTTGCTTAGAGTCCTGCAGTTTTTGCTTTTTAGTTCTCACCCTAAATTAAAGGATTCTTTATTTATACAACCTCTCCAGCCTTGAGTTGTGGTGTTCTGCGTTTTGGGTCCAATCGTCCTGCACCCGCAGCGTGACACAGGCACCCTAACATGTTTTTCAACCAGACTTATGTAAATTCTCTAAGGAGTCAGACTTTCTATCCATCATATTTATTCTCATTCATGTGAAATCCTAACAAGGCTCCAGCTCCTTAAACCAATTGTCAGAAAGGCACAATGACAAAATGTTCCGAGACCAAAATCCTCTGAACTCACCTGCACACTCTGTCCAGGTCATGGTGAATCACAGCAAGCACACGTGTAACACCGCACACATATGCAATGAATGCTCAGCATGTGGGGCGGGGGCCTACCTGTGGTCGTGGGTGTCCTTTAACAATACACCGGAGCTCTAGTGTGTCTCCTTCTCTGATGGTGTAAATTCTCTCACTTATATTATCATCCTTCACGTTACACGCTGCACCGGAGTGTGCAATCTGGGCATTGGCTGGAGCTGTGGACGGACACACACACACACACACACAGACAGAGAGAGAGAGAGAGAGAGAGAGAGAGAGCGAGCGAGAGAGAGAGAGAGAGATGTAGTCATACACACAGACAGACAAGCACGAACAAACACAGACAGAGGGGAATCACATATTTAATTAATGACATCACAGCACAAAGCAGGTCACCTTCCTGTGGATGAGCAAACAAGAGCTAATATCGACGACTCAGACAAAGAAATGTATCACATTACTTTTTTATCTGCATAAACAGAGTTTTCCCAAAATCGCTGTGGTAGTGTTAGTCAGTTTCAGAAACACAGAAAAATTGGAAAACTGAAACCTTGGAAATCATGAAGGTCAGGATGCTGACCCAAACCCTTGATTATTGGATACATGGATGATTTTTTTATTTCATTAATTACCTGACAGACATTACAAAATGGGCTTAATAAAAAAGATAATTACATCAGAAATGTAGATCATCCTTAAAGGGTTTTAATACCTACAGTGAACTGGGACCTCATTTCAAACTTCTGGCAAATCTAAAAGAATTACATTCAGTTCAGGCAGAAGGGGTCGCCCCTCCTGGTCCTGGTTCTGCTGGAGGCTCCCACCTCATCCACTCTGCTGTGCTTGCTCAGGGTGGGCAATGTGTTGAAGTAAAGATTTGGTTAAATTTGCTTGTTTTATTTTCTAGGGCTATTTTTGTGTAAATTATAAATATATATATAATTTTAAACTGATGATATTACAGATTTATTCAACTGATTGTGTGCAATCAGCATTTCATCTGGACCTGTTTTCATAAGAACTTTACTTTTAAATTGGAGATTAATTTACTGTAGATTGTTGCCATGGAAATAAGCTGAATTCAGCTGGCCACATGGACTGGAGGTAGGCAACCCTGGTCCTGTAGGACCACTATCCTGTATGTTTTACTTTTTTCCCTGCTCCAACACACCTGGTTCAATGACCTGTTCAGCAGCTCATCATGCTCTGCAGAGATCTGTTAACCACCTGCTGATTAAAACCAGGTGTGTTGACGCAGAGAAGCCTCCAAATTTAACAATTTTCATTTCAACACACGCACAGCATCTGGACCCAAACACACACACTATGTTGAACAGAACTCACAAATAACCCTTCGCCGAGAATTTTCACCGGATGCGTGAGCGGTGCGTAACGTAACTGTGGCAGCACCGACTCTGTGGAACATGTTGCCTATCTCCATTCAGCAGGCGCCATCTGTTGCCATTTTTAAAAAGCTCCTGAAAACGTTTTACTCGACAGCTTTTACTATTACTTGATGACTTGGTAGTCCTGTATTTTTATCATTTCTTATGCCTCATTTTTGATTGATTGTTTTTAACATTTTATTGTGTTTTTACTTGACTGCTTTTATTTTTTAATGTTTTCATGTGCTTAAGTTCAGCACTTTGGGCAACACTGTTGCATTTAAATGTGCTATACAAACAGGCGTGATTTGATGTAGATGTATTTTCCTCGCGATCTCTCTACCCACCGGGAGCATTTCAGACGCAAAACAGCAGAGAGAGTTACAACCAGTCACCCCGCACGGTCATGAAATCTCAAGATAATTACAACACCATGCGTGATTTAGGTAGTTCACACATCAACAAGCAAAGAGAAAGACGGCAGTGTGTATTCAAGAAGAGCTTTATTTTTGTTCTGTTTACCTCAACTAAAGAAGTTTCACAAGTGATGGCAGACTCTTTTACTAGTTAAGCAACATGAAATCTGCTTGTGACTTTTATTTTGAAAGATCTTTATCACTGGTTTTGTGTTTGACTTTGTGTCTGGTCGGACCCGAACTGTTCTGGAGCCAATAACACCTAAACGTAGACCCAAAGTAAGCATCCCTATGCTTCTGGGACACTTCCAAATGTAAAGCTTTGAGGCACGCACAGTCTATAATGGCAGCTAACTGCTAACTACATTTCACCGATGTTAGACGCCTACGCGTCTGGTTGAAAGACCCAGGTAATGTGAATATCCATGTAAGGGTCTCTAAAATGTCGAGGTTTATCTGCCTAAATGCACCTGATTTTAATCAGTAGGTGATTAAGAGGCTTCTGCAGAGCTTGATGACTTATAATGAACAGGTGATTTGACCATTAAAACAGGTGTGTTGGAGCAGGGAAGCAACTAAAACATGTTAGAGAGTGGTCCTCAAGGAGCTGGGCTGCCCAACTCTTGCTTGAGAGGGGCTTGGGAAAATATGGACTTATAGGAATTACAAAAAAAAATGTTTTAGAGCCAGCATCTAGTGGTCATTTTCATTTCACATAGTTTTTATTTTTTTAACAGGTGACTGTATCCATAATAAATCACCACACTGACAGATAAACTTACTAACTAATTCACACACATTTAATGGCACCTTCATTGCTCCTATCCCATTCACAAAGCCAGCAGCGCTCGCTATAGGCTACGATGGTACTTGCACTTGTGAAACATCCGACTGCAGCTGTTCAGCTAAAGATGGACACAGCAGGTAGAAAAGTGACAGACGGATTGAGAAAATGATTTTTCAGAGTCAGGGTCAGGTCTTAGACGAAGAACAAAAACAACTCTCCTCAGGAGGAAAAGCATTCAGGGTTACATTTCTAAATCAATAAGTCATTTTGGGCTTCCCTTCCTGCATCTGCTTATTTTCACTTTTTTATTCAACAATAAAATAGAAAAAATGTCAAATGTTGGACCTTGTCAGTGCTTCAATGCTACTTATTTAGTCCAAATTTTAGTTATGTAAACACGTCTCAAGCAGCTGAAGGCTGATTTAATTACAGTCTCAAGGCAGCTGTGAGGATGTAAAATGAAAACAAATCCCTAAATTAGAAGCAGCTTTCATCAAAATGATTCTGAAAAATAGAAGATTCACTGGAGGGTGGCAGATGAAAAGATCTCTGCAGTTAGAGCATTTTGAAGCTAAATCTACAGATAAATTGTCCAAATTGAGTCAACAAGTCCAATAAAAGCAAAAGCAAGGATGAAGCTCATCTCACTCATATTGATCGTCAAAAGAGAGCCCACACACACACACGCCTGCTTCATAACACGTGGGACACAACAATCAGCAACAGCTGCTGCAGGAACACAATGAATGCAACATAACGTCACTAGTGATAGCTTCAGCATCTTTGTCTTCACCATGTGGAGGACGGGCTCGCATGCAACAACCCTCAGAGGTTGTATGATGAAGGGAGACAGGAGGGAAGTGGAGGGGCAGAGATGGAGGGGGGGAAAGCAGTGGGTGAGGAGAAAAAGGCCAGGGAGAGTAGTGTGAAACCAGAGAGAGAGAGAGAGAGAGCGAGTCATGAGGGCCGAGGCAGCATGGTGATGTGATTAGCATCGATTCACACGGAGAACAAATCTTCACTGTACTCCGTAACTGTTATCATTGAATGGACAGACAGATAGTGGGCGGCTTGTTTATTTTAAACCTCAGCTTGCTCGCGCTGCAGAACAACAGTTGGCACAACTTGGAGGCAGAAATCAGGTTGAGAAGGATACAAAGCTCTGAAAGGTCCCTCTATGTTCTCTCCTGTATCATAAAGCAGAGTGTTGCTGCAAGTGTCGGAGCAGAGTGAACATCCTCATCCACGGGCGTTCCTATAAGGTGCTGTCTTTACTGGATAGAGGATGTTTTTTTTTTAATACCAGAACGTGAGAAAATGACTGTTTCGGCTCTAAACATGCACGGAATTGATTTTTCTGATGTTAATCTATTTCATTATGATTTTATGACTTTGTTTTATTTTGCTTTGATCTATGTGAAGCACTTTGTGATTCTATGTCTGTGATAAGTGCTGTTTAAATAAAATGTACTTACTTACTTACAAGTCTATCAAATCCTGTGGTGGAAGCTCTGCATACTCATCAGCGTCTCCAAATAGAATAACTGTGATGTTGCTAAGGGGCCTCACGTGGAGATTATTGGATGATTAGAAGAATAAAATCCAAAATTAAGAAGGGGAGCTTAAACCTGAAAACTCATGTTACCTGCAAATCTGTGGATTTGGTTGCCATTTTTCTATTTTTTATTTCATTTCATGCAATCAAACAAAATTTACATTAAAACAATTCATGTTCACAAATAATCATAAATGAAAAGGAGCAGAAAGAAGCAAAAACGTATTATATCTGCACCCTTTACACATCAGACATTAGCTGTTCAACTCAAAGACTGCCCCCACCCCACCCCCAACACAAACAAGTCTATCAGCCTACTTAAGGTCTTATTATTTCATCAAGATACGTTTGACACATTTTTAAATACAGAAAATGATTTAGATTGTTTCATTTCACTGTCGAGACTATTCCATAAACAGACGCCTTTAACTCAAATACATCTTTCTATTATCACTGTTTGGAAATTTGGTTTAAAAACATCATTTATAATTACTTTCTTGTTTTACAAATCTCTTTTGAATAGTTATTGGTAGACTCCTTTATGTGCTTTGTGCATAAGTTTTAATAAATATATTTTACTAATTTGTCAAATTCCATTAGGTTTCAAAACAAATACAAGAACAATAATTACCTTCAGCTTAACATTTCAATTGATGATTTATGCATCTGATGCAATTTAAACTCAGTTTTTATTGTGAACTACGTGAATAAAAATAATCATCTGGATGAAGACGAACACAACAGCCTCTGATAGATGCATCAGTGCTCACCGTGTCTCTCTGCCTACAAACCAACGTAAGATTCATGGAGCAGAATGGTGCACAGTTCAACTCTGACATTCGTGTCCAGCGGGGAATTCAAGACAGACAAAAGCAAAGGCTGCACCTCAACGCTGCAAGGTTGTGTCGACGAGGACTTACATGCGAGTTCTCGGTGCAAAGATGGGGATGAAATAAATGGAATTTACTTTATTTAAACAAAAACAGGGAGACAAAAAAGATCACACAGACTCAATCTCAAGCAAAGCTGAAGATGTCTGTTTGTAACAGAGGGCCAATGTGGTGATGAGGAA